CATATTTGGCGTTCTATCGCTTGGGAAAACGATCTCGAATATCGAACAAAAATCTTTTAGGTATCTTAGGATAAATTACAAGTGATAGTTTGTAACGAATAAGTAAATGAAGTGAAGTTTTTATGACTAAAGAAGGTTGCATGTATCTTTTCACTTGTTAATCACATTATCATTATCTATGTGTGCAACGGTACAGCAGCTAGAAATTTCTACTCGTTTGAATTTAAAACATCTCTTACTCATTTATTTATTTATTATTATTATTTTTGGATATAGCTTCTTTTGCTAATAAAATTATTTACTTTATTTATTCGAAAATAAGATCCCCTTTCTTATGCTATATTATAGTTCTAAAAGTTGGTAAGACTTTTTATAAACGAGTATTTAAATAAATAAAATTTGCATAATGAGAGAAAGGAATTTAATTATTGTAAATATATAGAATAATTAAACTATCTAAATACTGAATAAACCAAGATATAATTACAGTATATGTAAACTGCATAGTTACCACGAATTATAATAGCCACGTCTAGCTGAACGATTTCAGTTTATGTCTTCATCCAGTATACTAACCAGTGCTATGTCTGAAAACAAACAAGTAATGATGGAACATTAACAATATGCTGCAGACAAATCTAACGCAACTGTCATTTCAAGGAAATTCTAAACTGTGTTTGAATGGGAAACTAAGATTCTCTTTCTCTGAATTCCTGCAACACGAAATAAATATACATCTACATTTTTAGTTTTTAAAATTTATCCTACAAAATAAAGAAATTTATTATATTTTTTAAATAAAGATTTTTTATTATTTTTGAGTAAATAAGGTAATCAACTCGCAGCAGCACATGACAAAAGATAGTATGAAATTCAGGTAAAAACTGCTGGCCACTTTAAGAATTTGGAGCAAAAAATCAGCATTTTTTCTCGCAATTGCAGAGAAACAAAAAAGGAAAGGTACTGTGTTATTGAAATACATTTAAAATGTTAAAATTACAGTTTTGTCTCTCGACAGAGAGACTTGGTGTCGTTTCAACATGATGACTTATATATTAACTTTATACGTTTGGCATAACTATCATGACACAAAAAATTTCATTTTCATTTTTGCTATAGGTAAGGTTTTGTGTCAATAATGTTATATGCGAATCATACGACATTCATCACTTTTGGAATAATTAACATTCAGAGGTGTGATCTTTCTCACTATTTTTCGGACAGGAAGAGAATAAAATTAATAAAAAAATTTTACGGATTCATTATACGTATATAATTATATTATAACTCAGCTATAGCTATAAAAAGGAAAAATCCATTAAAAGCGCTCCCACTGCTGCTGCAAATAGTGTAAAACCATTCACACTGACCTAAACCAAAGCAACCTAAACCAAAACCTTCTCTTGGTGAGCCGCCTCCATATCGGATAATTGCGCACTTAAAAGCTTCTACTCTCTTCCTATAAAGACGATATTTCGCTCTGTTCCCTTTCTATCGCAACAGTATCATAAAATGTAAATGCTCTTGAATAGGCACGATTAGAGTGCCAAAACATTGTGACTTCAAATATGAATTGAAATAAAGTTGAATATTTAATATTACTTGGCTGCCAAGTTTCCTCTTCATTATGGATCTACTTTCTCCGCCATCAACATTGCAAAGTTCTTTGCCTTTAGAAAGTAATAAAATAATTATCATTTGACATAAAACTTCATCTAAATAAATTAACTACACTCAAGGAAAAGTACTTTTCTTGATTGTAATTAACTTACAATTAAGAAAAGTGTTGTATTTGTATTTATATGTATTTATTTATTTATCCGTGTTTCCCTCTAGATGTTTGAGAAATTTCATTGGCTTTCGATTCTTTGTTGTAGGATTCCTGGAAGTGTAGGAAAAAAGGCAACGAGCTAGTAGACATCATATCAAGTCTGCGTCTGCTATGGAATTCCCTACTCTGCTTCACTTCCTATCTATCTATTTATATAACTGTCTCTCTTTTCTCTCTCATTCTCTCTCTCTCTCTCTCTCTCTGTGTGTTTGTGTAAGATATAAATTATGAAACAAAATTATTAACTTAATTTGGCAATAGTTTTTTTTAATTCCTGCTTTTACTTTCGGTTTCGTTCTCCTTCAAAGAATCTGTACCTCGGTTCTTACTTCATTACTTCATCTGCAATGATACGCGATGCTGTAGAACTCTTGTCTAATCATTCTTCAAATCTGAAACAGAGGAGCCGAGCTTATAAATACCTCTCTCCCCCCAGCTACTGAATACGCAGTACTTTACTCCCTTCTCTTCCTTAAAGAACATCGGTCTCGTTGCTTTGCTTGTTTCATCTATAGACTTTGGTATTCTTTGGTAGCTTAAGCTGATATTAAAATCCTAAAATAATTGGGGCGAATCATTGATGTAACTGAACGTAACGACAAAGTCACGGGAAACATTTAAAACAAACCTTTTTACTAAATCAGAACTTAGAAACTTAGTATCCAAAGGCTACGCAATTGGTTCAACGCGAAGTTGATTTAAACATCTCACCGACACAGCAATTTAAATGACGGAAGCAATACCTCAAAGCCGAATAATACAGCCTTATCTGAGGTAGTAGAAACCTAGTAATGTGAGCTCGATAGGCAGAAATATGCTTTGCCTTACAATCCGAAAACATCACCTTAAATACTCTCAAACCTGATTTGTATTCTGGTAGGGAGAAAGGAGAAGTGACTAAATCGTAATAAATGGATAGATTAACATAATGGAACATTACAGATCTATTGTTTAAAGATGTAATACTAGTATATAAAATTGTGCGGCGCTTATAGCATCCACAGTGTTGGGAAAATTAAGAATAGATGTCTTAAATTCAGAGGTTTGAAAATGTGTGTCAAGAATCTCCAGGAATAAATTACGTGTTAAATTCGATTTGTCTGTCTGCAAGTCCATCATTCCATATATGCAGTAGTTTAAGCTATCCTTTAATATTGCGTTATATACAGATAAATCATTACATACCTATATCTATATCTATCTATATCATACATATATGTTTATACATGTCGTTCTCCCTCTCTCTCTATATATATATGGATACTGAATGATCTAAAATTCATTGAATTCGAAAACAAGTTTTTCTGATACTTGCGCAATAGCTGCAAAAGTAAGTGGGAATTTAACTTCATACTTAAGAGTTCCCCTCATTTCGATACATTCTACTAAATTTATATTAAGAGATAATGTAATCAATATTTCTTTAATATATATATATATAGATAGATATAGATATATTGATTGATATAGATGCTTATAAGAGAGAGATAGTGAGTATATAAACTCTGCATTATGCAAAATTCTCATTTAAATTTTTATCAAAATTAAACGACTTAAAATTGTTTCCTTTGCAGTGGAAACATTGAGTTGGAAATCATATAACAATGAATTGCACTGTATAAAAGGTTTTCAAAATATTGATTCTACAAATGGGAATTTAAAACTTATATTTCTATGTTTATAGTCTTCTGGCACGAATGATATATTCAAAAAATTTGTATTCAAAATTTAAAACTGTAGCCTATCCATAACATCACAGTTCTAAAAGTTTTAATCAAATGTCAAAGATAACTTTAATTACATAAGAATGGAATACTTTATGCTTAATTAAGTGTATTTTATTTTCATTGACAATGCATAATACGGACAAATTTATTGCTGTCCGAAAACCTGTCTTATTAGATATTTCTTAAAATGGATCCACACTATAACCATGTAAAAGATTATAAAATTAAATAAATTTTTTATCAATCATTCAAGAGTTATTTGGTCATGTAAGCGTTTTATAGAGGATGTCCTCCAAAAATGTAAAATGACCTCAATAAATATATATGTTCTTTCATAGATAAAATTTATAGATCATGTTCACTATAAATATAAAATAATCTTTTACAAATAAAATCTATACAGAATGCTGTACAGAGTGTATAAACATGCGTGTAAATACTGCATAGCTATGAGCGCGCTTTATATCAATAAAAAGTGGCTAAAGAACCATAATTATACAATCTAAAACTTTTGAAAAATTTTGCTGAAAATATTCAAATTTTAACGCCACACCAGAGTATTTGCGATTTCTTTTTATGCTTGCGTTGAGAATCGCAGGTTGCCAATTTGCTCTTGGACTCTATCTTTTTCTCGGAAGTATAGCTCGTCAATGATTTTATTTATTTAGTTATTTTATTTATTTATTTACCCATGGAAACTTTGATTTAATTTATTAAATCAAAAAACTGTTTTAATGCAGATCCTTGACTTAATTGCATTACTTTTGTTATGATAAATAATTTATCTGTACTCAATTTCAATTTCTTCAAGCATTGCAACGAACTCGGTGATTCAGAGCTCGTTCGCAAATAAAGTTTATTGCTTTAGCTATTGTTTCAATAATTTTATAAATCTGCACACTTTTGAACCTATATTTACATACTTAATTAATAGCATATTTACATACATAACAAATACATATTGCTTCGGTAACCGCACGTTGCCTGCGGACACCAGTTTGAAACCAGTATACATGGATATAACTAAATGTTTAATAGTCTGTATTTCAACTAATCTGTGAAATTTCATAAAATTTTAATATCAATTTCAGCTGAGCGTTTTATGTTAAATAACATACAATAATTTCATTAAAAATTTGCATCATTCGAGATTTTTAAACAGATTAATTTTATACTTAGTAGTGAAAAATGCATTTCAAAAAATCTAATCTATTAGAATGTGTAAATAATTTTACTGGTTCAAAAGTAGGTAGCTACCGCCAAACAATTTCAGGACCGTCTAGGAAAACCGGTACTTGGCGACTTTTTTTTATCTCGCCATCACTTTTGTAAGGCAACCCTTCAGCAGAGTAGAGAGAGCGGGAATCAGAAATAAAACTCTGCACACCTCAGACTCTGATCATCAGTCGCGTGCGGCGGAAGGGAGGAAGAGATGCGTAATGATTTTCATCTCTGCTTGAACCATCACGTGTGACTAAAACAGCATGATGTGATTTTATCCCAGGGACGTCCTGCCATACTTTTTTCTAGTCTTTTTCTCTAGTCCTGTGAATAAGTTAATCTAGTCTCGTTGCAATTTTTCTTTTTGAATAGGTTCTAAAATATCAAAAAGAACAGATACGGACAAAATTGAACTCAAGTATCAGAATTTTTCATTCGTTTAAGCAACGATTTTCATATTGTAGATTACAGGTTCAATTTCTGAAAGATTTCTTGAGAAAATTTATTTTAGTGAGGAAGAAAACTGCATATTTTCTACAAAAAGAATTTTTGACGCAATATTTTATAAGCTTGCTTTATTAGATTCAGAATTATTCTGACATATTACGTTACTAAAGAAAGAAACTATCTATACCGAATGCATTCATTGCATCTAATGAGATACATGTAAAGACAAAGAAGTGAACTTGTGAAGTTTTTCTCAGAAAAAAAAAAAAAAAGGAAAAGTCAATGGAGCCGTTTGGCAAAAACAACAGCCTGTGGTGCATAAAATTAGACCTTCTGTATTTCAGAGAAACAAGGTACAAGCACGGTTAGATAGGACCGACACAACTCCGACGCGTGGTCTCAAGACCAAAAATTATGCCTCGAGGTTTTCTAGTCAAGCGTTACAGTAAGACATCACCACCATTGTCATCATCATCTACAATTCCTGCTTCTCAACCCTGCTCAGCATCACCATCATCCCTTCCTCAACCTTCATCTGCCCATTCGAGAGTGAGGAGATACTCCGACGAAGATAGAAGTGATACGAGTTCAGACCACGAATTTCTTGATCCTTCGGATGTCTTAAGGCATCCTTTTTTCTGCCACCCTGGACCACCGCCTTTGAGAGCAACTGTCCCACAGAAATCATCAACTGCAGGTTCTGACGCAGATTCACCTTCACCTCCCTTAGTTGGGTATTCCAACGATCTTTGTCAGGTACGGAAATTTTTGTCTATTTCAATTTAAAGCAACTAGTTAAACTTAGAAGCGCATTAAAAGAACACATGAATGAAGATTTATCTTCAATATGTTATTCATTTTTTAATTGGTTTTCTGTTTATTCTGTATACTTTTTCATTCTTTTCATATTCTGTATAGTATCATTTGCCCTCCAGATTGTTCGGGAAAGCTTCTCTTGTAACTTATCATCACTTTCATTGCGTTTTGATGACATACCATTAGCCATTTCTTCAATAATTTTAAAGCTCTTAGCGGTTTTATGTGTTTTAGATACTTTAATTTTGAAGCAGGTGATAACTACCATTTAATTTTAATTTCTGTTAGCGAGTCTCATTTAGAGTTTAATTAGAAACTTCATCTGATTTTGATATTAATATGCAGAATATATTCAGGGTATATGTTCTCAGTTTGGCGTTGATAATTAACATTACTTTGATAATTTAATTAATTTATTTATTTGCTTTTCTCCTTTATATCGAATTTTCTATCCAGAGGCACTAAATTTTTGGCTTAATCTATCTAATTTTAACTACGCATTTGCAGTTTTAAAACGTCTTCTATGTAATTCAACATTTTTACGATATTTACACATTTTAATTTTTCTTATACAATTACTTTTCCTGGAGAACAGGTGCGCAGTAAGAGGCATGATTACCAAAAGGACATGAAAAAGAAATTTATTTTATTTTCTATGTAGAGAAATGAAATCTTATTCTTGGTAACATGGCCTTTTCCGCAAATATTTCTAACATTGTTTACGCTTATGGACATGATATATTAATTGAATTCTGTATATACGACCTCTTTCGATTAAAACGAAATATAGATTAAGAAGGAAAGGTATTGTTTCAAAAAATATAGTTCTTCAATTTTATCCATACAATTAATTATTTGATGTTTTCTGTGTATAAACATAGAATTTATTATTACAATAATCCTGACATAATCTCCATTTCTGAAATATTCTAAGGATAGAAAAAATTAAATAAACTTGTTTTGCAGCTCGTTTAATTCCGGAGGCTTATGGAAATTGATAGTTTTCTTCACAGCTTGATTTCAAAATTCAGATCGGAAACTTTTAATCTTTAAAATTATTTCTGACAACTATTGAACAAACCTAATGCGAGCGACAGTGGTTTCATTTAAATCTTATATTTGCTGACTGGCAAATAATCATACCTGTTACCAATTTTATTTTGAATATATTTTCTTCGGAATTCTGAAATCATACGTTAAAGAATATAAAATACAGAATAGGAAATGTTACGCACTATTAAACTATTTCAGATGTATGAATAGTTTTGATATCATTAGATTGGCAGCACATTTTACATGTTTTGTTCGGCAGGAGATTTCAGCTCTTTTCATTTGCAATCATCTATTTCGCTCTCAGCGGTTTTCTTTGACTGTCTTCTTTAAAACTGCCCTTCGATGGGAAGAAAAATGATATTTCTAATTTATTAATAGGGGCTATAAACCAAAGGGAATTTCATAGTTTCAGAGAGAGAATGCGGTCCACATTTTGTTTACGTGTTAAGTATTTAGTTTTAGTTTATGAATATACAAATCTACTTACATTCAAGTTTTGGTATTTATAAACATTTTATATACTTTTTCTCTTTTAATTTATAAAACACATTAAAAATAATCTAAACTTAAAGAAATGTATTTGTATTTTCGAGTTTTGGAATAAAGGGAATGATAGCTTAGGAATGCTGAAAAGTGCACACGGAGGGAAAAAATTGAGAACAACTGTTCTTAGAACTTATTCTAATTAATTTATTCCTATAATCTCAAATGTACTTCTTTCATTGATTTACATAACATAAAAATAGAACACCCTTACTACCTTGTAAACTTTTTCATTTTAATCATAAATTTATTAAAATTTCAAACAAAAAAGTGAAGAATAAGTATTAGATTGCTAAATTTTTATTATTTTATTTAATCGTCTTTAGACGAAGAAGGAAATGGTTTTTAATTTTTTACAATTAAAAGTTAATGATTAGTAAAAAAACTGGAGGGCTGTAAGCAAATGTAGAAAAATCATCGGTGGTTGCTACAATTGCTTCTTTTTGGCATAACTCGTAGAATAATAAAACACAACAACGCAATCGAAGAGGTCAGCGGGCGCAACTTCTGTTCAATAATTACAAGCATGTGTCTCACATGTTTACAGCATTATAATGTAATAGATGGTTATTGTATTTAAAATATATTACATTCAATAGAGGAAGTAAGGAAGGAAAACTGAGCAAATCAACCTGATAGAACCCTAGAAAATCAGTCAGGCTGTATTATTATATGCTATATCTTTTGAATATAATGAATTATATGGTTCTGTTTTATTTGATAAGTAACCTAGAATTATAGAAAAGTATTAAGCATGTACACTTTTTGTCATAAGCAAAATTCTGAACAAATTTTCATTTGCATAGAAAAGTTTCACTACATTATGAATTAAGAATTATTAAGAAGGCAAATAAAATGGTTATTTATTAAAACTCGTAGAGACTAAAGATACCTTTTCTTACACAAAGGACAGTTAAAAGAAAAAAAAAAAAAAACAGTTGCTATGTTGTTCCGAGTATGGATATTAAATCTGAAAGTTTTTGAACCCGTTTTTCTGTCTACCTAGTTAAAATATTCAAAAATGTTCTGACATTTTAAACAGATTGATGAATAATGATTACAGAAAATAATTTCTAATACCTTGTGACATTTTAGAATTGAAGCTAATGAAAATGCCGAATGTTGTTATATTGAAAATTGAAGCGCCTCCCCCCACAAAAAAAGGGGGGGGGAATTCACATTTTACGAAGTTTTCAATTTTGACTTGAATTATTTGTTCCTTTGAAATTGATTCTTCAAAATTTTTAATTTCTCCTTTTATATACATTCCTAGATGCGGAAAAGATTGGATAGATTAAAAAGTTGAATGGTTTAAATGTTGAAGTTTAAATATTTTGCAATAATTGATTTCACAAACTGATCTAAAGTGCCCACCAGCGGCCGAGCGGTAAAGCCGCTGAACACTGGTAGTTCTGTCCGAGGTTCGAATCCCGCGAATGGGCTGGCTGCATGGGTTTTTTCGTGGTTTTACCCAGTGTAAATGTGACCAGTTTCCTCGAAAGTCTCACGAAGGCATCCCTCCCCTTAGGCAGATAACCCTAGTGTGCTTTGCTATAGTTAAATACACACCACATACACACACCAAACTGATCTAAAAAAGAGTTTTTTTTAATAAATTCAAAATTAAGGAGACGAAAAATTTACATGAGGATATTTTAAAGTTTTTTAAAACTTTATTTATATCTAAGAGAGGAATAATTTATTTCTTTTCTAAAGATTAAAATTGCTCTTGCTTGAGATAAAATAATAGTAATAAAAAGAACAAAATTAAAGTAAAATATCCTTAAGTGAGTTCGTAGAATACTCTGTAGTAGTAGTTCGAAAGGTTTCAGCTAGAGTCCGGGTTCAGGCATAGGTTTTAAGAATTTTGTATAATGATATTTTATTATATTAATATGTATGTCAGTTTCAAACCATGGTACCATTAATGTGCGAGTACTGAAGTTTATTGTAACAACACTACAATGTACAGTGATTTCTAATTCAAATGAAAGTTACAGTTTTTATCCATTTATTGTTCGACACTGTTGTTTATTTTCGGTTTCTTAAAGTAATGATAAAGAATAGCATTTATGCTTGATTTAAGGAGGAAAAGTACTATGTTGAAAGGAAGCACGCGTAATAATGAATAAAAATGCTTATAATATTAAATGAAGGTTCTTAAATGTTTTTAAAATACAATGGAAACTCGATTTATCGTTTTTCAATGGAATGGAGGAAAAAGTACGATAAATGCTAGAAGGCGATTAAGACAAAGAAATATTAGAGCTTGTAAAAAAGGTAACATGCTGTAAATAAATAACATTTATTATTTTCAAAGCAAATATATTGCATTAAATTTAATCTTTTAAAAAAAAAATTTAATTTTTAAAAGAAAAAGTCTTATACTTTCCTTTACTTTTGTCTCAATCAAAAATGTAAATTTCTCGAGATAAAAACGTTTCCATGGTCCTCATCATATTTGTGCCTAAGGAAAAAAATATGTTTGTAAAGCTTTGTAAGTCACAGATAAGATAGGTTCCACCTTTTGTTCTATTTTATTTTCTTCATTCATACTCTTTGTTTAAACTTTAAACTAGTCCCTAAAATAGCCTATGACTAATAATTATGTCACCAAGTATTTAGGAGTTAGTTAATGCAAATATATTCAAGTGTTTAGTCAATGCAAATTAAAGACAATTAATAGAAATAGACTTAAATGCATCTCGCAACCAGATAATGTTTAGAAATGATGTCGATAACGCGGATGTGAAACTGAAGTTTGTGGGCTAAGCACTACTGTTTTACTTATGTTGTCACAAGGCAGAAGTAACGTAAATAAATACGCCCTTTAAGACACAATAACACGCCGAATAAATACTAATTCAGAAGTCAAACAACAAAAATCAGCGTTAATTTACAAAATTTTCACAGGAGGTTCGGGGTTTAACGAACCATCATCTTCACTGCAAACACAAATGGACAAATAGGAAATATGTTAGATAAGATAAAAGCCGGGCAAGAGAAGCAGTGGCGCCATCGTTGGCGCAACCATAACTAAACATAATTCGCTAAGCCGAGGAAATTTGGATTGATTAGAGCGTTACTAAAGAAGATTTAGAATGTGATGCCTCTAGAAAAATCCAGTTCTCCATGGAAGTTTTTTGAATAATTTTGGCGCAGAAAATTGAAAGGTGATTTTCGGACCAACAATGTGAGCAACAGAAGACTCTGTGTTCTTTTCAATATGCCTCATGTGCTTGATGCGAATTTTAAGGCCTCTTAGTTTGGCCTAGTTTCGTGCCTTCAAGTTCCCTCCAAACTAGCCCTTGAGGAGAACGAATTATTAAAGGCATAGCAGTGAC